CAACACCTAGACATCACCATTTGCCCTTGCCTCCTCCATATGTCATCAGTGGCTATTTTCTTCCTCCACAATCTCCATAAGAAGAAGGATATCTTAAATGGTATGCCTTTAATCCACATTAACTTGAATTCCTGATTAGGATCAGCTTTATGCCTTAATATTTGCCAAGCACTGCTAACACTAAACTTGCCCGAAGGAGTTTGCATCCAGTATGGCCTATCCCAGTATCCCTCACTGCCTTCATAATGTACATTTAGCCTTATATGTTCTGCAATTTCCTCATTGAAGGTTTGATCTAGCAGTTGATCATCCCATGTTTCACCTTGCCGTAATTCTGCCATGTCTTGAAGATCTTCATTGATTGGAAAGTCCTCAGGTAATACATGATAAAGTGCACCCAATCCAGTCCAATTTTCATGCCAAATATTAGTTGTTCCACTCTTCAATTTCCATAGGATCTATTGTTCTACTTCTTCCCTAGCATTCAGCATTTTTCTCCAAACATTAGACCCCCTTCTAAACTGCACCACCGTTGGTATCTCCTTCTTGCAATACTTATTCCACATGAAATTAGACCACAAAGATTTTGTGTTCCTAAACCTCCACCATAGTTTAGCAAACAATGCCCTCGACACATCATGTAAGGACCTAAAACCTAGGCCTCCTTCCACTTTAGGAAGGCAAAGATTTTGCCATGAGGCCCAATGTATGCTTCTCCCTTCTTCCTTTGTGCTCCAAAATAATCTAGCAAAAATCTTATGAAGATGCTCCAGGACATTTTTTGGTGGATGCAGGACTGATAACATGTGGACTGGCATACATTGCAACACACTAGTAATGAGTGTTGCCTTTCCTCCAAATGACAACAACTTTCCTTTCCATGAATGCAATTTAGCCTTTACTTTCTTTATAAGATCTTCATAATATTCCTTTCTCATTCTACTGTAGAAAACAGGACAACCTAGATATGTGAAGGGGAATTTACCTTTTGCAAATTCTGTAACAGCTCCAACCACCGGACACAATCCATTAGAAATCCTGGAATACATGTAGTATGGACTCTTATCTTTGTTGATCATCCGGCCTGATATCTTCTCATAGTTCCCCAACACTGCCATAAACTTGCTCAAGGATGGAGGATGAGCAGAAGCAAAGATTATAGTATCATCAGCATATGCCAAGTGGTTTAAAGGATCAGAACACTTAGGCATTCCAAATCCCACAAATGACCTGTCTTCAAATAACTTATTCAAAGATCTGGAAAGTACCTCAGCTGACAGAATGAACAATGCTGGTGATAGAGGATCCCCTTGCTTCCCACCCCTTGTAGACTTAAAAAACCCTGATGACTGCCTATTCACCAATACTGAATAATAGTTATTTGACATCAAGTTCCACACCATGTTAATGAAGTGCTCAGGAAATCCCACCCTCCTAAGTACATGCAATAAGTACTTCAATGAAACCCTATCATAAGCCTTACCATATCAAGCTTGATCACCACATTAGCTGGCTTTCCCCTTAACTTATGTCAGTGACAATTTATTGAGTCAATAAGATGTTCTCAAATATACTCCTACCCTTCATAAATCCTGACTGATTAGGAGATATTAGAGAAGGCAAAAAAATTTCCAATCTATCATGTAACACTCTAGACAATACCTTGTTAATGAAGTTGCTCAAGCTAATACGTCTTAAGTCAGAAAAGGTCTCAACTCTAGGTTTCTTAGGCACCAACAGTAGATTGGTGTGAGTGATGGATTTAGGCAGTGCAGCTCCTCCATAGAAGTGAAGCACCATGTTGTATATATCAGCACCAATAACATCCCAGCATGTTTGATAAAATAGGCCAGTGAATCCATCTATACCACTAGCACTCTCCCCACTAAGCTCAAAAACTGCTATCCTTACCTCTTCAATTGTTAGCAATCTACTAAGTTCCAAATTTTGTTCCATAATGACAATCGAAGGTACATTATTGAGCAAGGAAAAGTCAGATGGATCACCTTCATTTGTGACATGTTCTTGATAAAAGTCCACTGCAGCTGTAGCCAATTGCTCCTGGTCTTCAATCCATACCCCACTTCCAATTTCGATCCTCTTTAGTTGTAATTTCTTTCTTTTGCCATTGACATGATTGTGAAAGAAACATGTATTCCTATCTCCTTCAGCAAACCAAGTCATCCCAGCTTTTTGCTTCCAATACTGCTCCTCAATACTCAAGTATTTCTTCAATTCAGATTGTGCCTTTTGAAGCAGAATCCTGTTTTCAATTGAAGGCTCTTCTTCAAACAACATCTCTTTTACCCTAATAATGTCATCCAAAATAGCCAATTGCTTGAAGATATCACCAAATGTTTCCCTACTCCATTTTGACAGTGCTTCCTTCACCCTCCTGAGCTTCTGCTTGAACATAAAAAACGGATCCCTTATGAAATCAACTTCCCAATTCTGCCTCACCACATCCATAAATGCAGTATGTTTAGTCCAAAAGTTCAAGAACCTGAAAGGCTTGACAAAATTGGTGGTCTGCTCCCCACATGACATTACCAATGGTGCATGATCTGATCCAGTTCTGATTAGATGTTCAACTTCAATAGCTGGCAACATGTTTTCAAATGGAAAATTCACAAATATCCTATCCAATCTTTTGAATATACACGCAGCATTGGATCTCCCATTCCACCATATAAATGGACTTCTTTCGAATCCTTGCTCGAACAAACCACAAGAATTTACACAAAATACAAAATCCTCATATTTAGGCGGGTGTACTGGTAGTCCTCTTATTTTCTCATCTTCATGTAATATCACATTGAAATCCCCTCCTACCAACCATGGCAATTTCATATCACTTGCTAAGTAATACATGTGATCTCATAATTCCAACATCTCAGTTGCTGAACATTTTGCATAAACAAGTGTCATCATCATGTGCTGCCTTAGGTCATGGTGAAGCACTCTCACAACCATATGTTGCTCAGTATCCTCCACTAATTTCCATTCCACAACTGCATCAAAGAACAACCATATTTGCCCATTAATATTTGCATAAGCCGTCTCCACAATTAACCTTCTTCTATATCTATCAATGAATCTCTTCTTTTGAAAAGGTTCCATCAATGCAACTACACAAAAGTTATGCTCCCTATTCATGTTGATCACCCTAGGAAAGGCCTGATGTGTATTCACAGACCTTATGTTTCATATTAATGTCCTAATCATCATTTAGATAGAGAATCAGCCCTCCTGGGCATAATTCTTAAAGGTTGTTCTAACTCTTTATTCTGATTCTTCTTAGTTTTCTTGCCTCCTTTAGCACTAGTTATAGGTGATAGATCCCCATCCCTAGCCACCTGTTTGAAATTTTCTTCTGTTTATTCATCATCTCCCTCATCCTCCATAGGATTTTGTCTCATTATGTCTTCATCAATTGGTGCCACATTTTGTGTCACTAAATCATGTAGATGTTGAAGTGGAGTCTTCAGTGGAACATTAAGTTGCAGCTGCATAATTTGATCAGTGACATATTCCATAGGCACTTCCTCTATTTCCCCGGATGCTCTTGGAACAATTGCATGCTTATCATTCTTTTCACTGTTATTCTCCGATCCTACTGTATGATCCCTAACCTTCACATTATCATCAATTTTGTTCTCCAGTGCATACATCGAAACACCATCGTCATGTGCCAAAATCTTGCCAGTTGCACTAGTGACAAGATTAACTATCATTGCTTCATCAGGTGACCCTGGCGCCAGGCCTGGCATCGCCAGCCTAACGCCTGGGGTACCTGGCTTTAGGCCTGGCGTCGCCAATCTAACGCTTGGGGAGCCTGGCTTTAGGCCTGGCATCGCCAGCCTATTGCTAGGTGGGCTGTTATCCCTCACTTTGTCTCTTGTTGTCTTTGTCGTGCCTATTTGATCATCCTCTACCTCAATTGCATCACTCCTAACAGCCTTTGTTGAGTTTATCTCATCAAGGTTCTCAAGCTGCCCATAATCTGCAAATGTTTGAGAGGACATATCTTGACATGATTGGTTTGTAGTCACATTGAGTTGCCTTAGCTCATCTTTGCTAGTTCCAAACCTTCTATGAACCTAGTCGATTGTGGATTCCTTATTAGCCTGTTCGTCAGTACTTTGATCACTAGGAACAATAGGATTAGCCTTAGCTAAGTTCCCATTATGCTGATCTTCCAACACTTTCTTCACTACTTCCTTCTTCACACGCTTATGTTCTTGTTGATTACTTTCTCCCGCTATTTTAGTATTAGTAGGATTAGGGCTTGAAGCTCCGGTAGTACCTTCTTTTTCCTTCTCATAGCCCTTCATTGATTGATTTTCCCCATGTTCCTTCTCCTTACCATTGCTATGATCCTCACCTTTGCCTTCAGTAATTTGTAGAATATGTTGATGAACTTCCTCAACCTCTAATGAATTAAACTTGTTCTTGGTTACTACCTCATCAAGTTTGGCCTTCCCTTTACCCTTGTCAGCTTCCTTACTTTGTTTATTATCAACAATGTGACCCCTATTATCCGTTGGTATTTGTTCTTCCTGGCTTGTATCCATTCTTGCTTCGCATGGTTAGTAGCAGGCTTACCAACCACCTTTCCACTTGATAGAACCTTTGTTGAATTTGTAGTTGTACCAATTGCTTCAGTACTCACCACAACTATCTTCTCCTTGCCTTGATCCTCAACATCTTCGTCAAATCTCTTGTGTAACTCAGGATGAATTACCCAACATTCTACCTCAATATGCCCTTGTTTCTTGCAAGGCTTGCAATATTTAGGCATATAATCATACTTAATCCTGATCCATTTGAACTCTTCTGGCCCAGATTCATCAGCTTCTTCAACAATCTTAATACGTTTAGGGAAATTACCTAGCAAATTCACTTCCACCTTTACCTTAGCACAACTAGGTCTAGTCCCATTTTGAGTTGCTAGGTCTACATATAATGGATTACCAACTGCACGAGCTAATGAAAATACACATTCCTTACCAAAGAAATTTGGAAGATGTTCTAGAAAACTAATCCACCCTATGGCAATTGGTGTCTCTTCATCAGGTGTCCACCATGGATTCCATTTTGTACGACACATCTGCTACATGTCTGATTGAGCCTTTAAATAAAAAGCTGGCTTTGAGAGAAGATGAACATAATCCTCCAATAAAGACAGCCTAATTAACACATGATTGTCTTCAATCAAGCCAACTGAACAATGACCCTTAATCTCACATTGAAATGGAATCACTTTACGTAATTCACCAATAACAGGCCTCCCATACGAATGTCTTCTCCTTGCCTTGATCCTCAACATCTTTGTCAAATCTCTTGTGTAACTCAGGATGAATTACCCAACATTCTGCCTCACTATGCCCTTGTTTCTTGCAAGGCTTGCAATATTTAGGCATATAATCATACTTAATCCTGATCCATTTGAACTCTTCTGGCCCAGATTCATCAGCTTCTTCAACAATCTTAATACGTTTAGGGAAATTACCTAGCAAATTCACTTCCACCTTTACCTTAGCACAACTAGGTCTAGTCCCATTTTGAGTTGCTAGGTCTACATNGGTTTTACCTTTTATCGTTTGACGGTAAACTATGGGATGACAACGTAAGTTTTACCCCTTCCAACTCCACTATAATTCATTTCTTTAGTATTGATTTCTCTAATTGTATAATTCACAAATTAAGCTCTCACACAAATTTGTCTTACATTACTTTTATGTTTTCAATTGTACTCAGATGTATCTTTTACATCTGTCGTATTTAATTATATTCAGACGTATTTTAACACTACTCAGTAGTTGTAAATAACAGATGTATTTAACTGAATCTGTATGATCTATTTAATGGCCTCATTATTCTTGAATAACTGCTGTATTTAACTGTATTCAGATGTATTTTAAAAGATCTCATTATTTGTAAATAACGTATGTATTTAACTGAATATGTGTGATGTATTAAACTGAGTTTTCACTTATCATTTTCAGTTTCTTTTTCTTAATTTGATTCATTGTACTAACACTATGTAATTAAATTTGTGTATAACATATTGACGTCATATTCTACTATCTGAGAAAGAAGGGAAAGTACAACCAAACAACCAACTTCAAGTATACAATTTGTTGTATTGTATATTACAAAACAAGAATCGCAAAAATCTTACAACGAGGTATACTGATACAGATAGTAATGACAATGTAGCCAAAGAAGGGGATGTGGTATGTGAGGCTACAGATTTGAAGTAATTCGTCTATTTGCACAATATCGCCTTGAATGAAACTACCACCGGATACAAGTCTTTTTCAATCGTTGTTATGCACAAAGGATACATCCCGAATTCTCTGTTCTCTTTTTTCAACTCTACATACACCTTGTAACCCATGTCATTGTGTATTTCCATTGGCGTGCTCGAACATAATCCTCCAATAAAGACAGCCTAATTAACATATGATTGTCTTCAATCAAGCCAACTGAACAATGACCCTTAATCTCACATTGAATTGGAATCACTTTACGTAATTCACCAATAACAGGCTTCCCATACGAAAATTTCCCAAAACTACAAGTTGAAGCCCTTGTTGTACGATGATTGCTTCACTTCTTGTTTCTTCCACTTCACAATTGGTTCTCCATGAAAGAACTTAACTGGTTTCAATGGTAACATAGCTAGGATTTATATGGGCGTATTTATGATAGTAGGGTTTAATAAATTTGCATATGTTTTAGGTGGATTAGGGTTTGTATTATGGTTTGTAGA